TTACCATCAATTGGTCACTGTTTGTGCTGTAACTCAGGCTGGAAGCCAATAATCAATGATAGGATTATAGGGGGGGATGAGGGTGTAGAACATTTCCCAGCATAGGCAAAGGTTCTATCCCCAGCTAGGAAGGAAGGAAGGAAGGAAAGAAGGAAGGAAGGAAGGAAGGAAGGAAAAAAGGGAGGAAGGAAGGAAGGAAAGAAGGAAGGAAGGAAGGAAGGAGAGAGGAAAGGAAAAAAGGAAGGGCCAGTATGCATCTTACTTTCTCCTCTACCATAAAGACGGAAACTGGGAGGCAAGATTTACAATAAGACATCTAAAGGATATGATAAGATGAAGGATACAACAGAATGTGTAGGTCTATTCCAGACTAAGATGGTAGAAAGGGTATTCAATTCACATTACACACAGGGAACACCTACAGTGTGGGATTTTCTTGAATAGGTCACACACCTTTCTTTCCAGAACCCTGTATCCTTTGGGACTATTTAGAAAGTTTTGGATGATACTCAGGTATCATTTAAACTGAATAGTTTTATCTTTAATTACCAGATATTTTTATATAAGCACTTTGTGTTTCAAATGTGTAAACACACACACACACACACACACACACACACACAACTGAGGAGATTGGAATAAATAGAAGATCAAACTGGGAAAAGAAGCACACTTAACAGCCATTGACTAGATTTTGGGTAAATGGCTTTATCTCTTAAAGAGTTTTCTCTTCAAATAAAGGCGTAGAGGGCCGAGGAGCTGATTCAGGAGTGGGCTCTTCCTGAAACCTCTTTGAAGTCATAGCTTTTGTTGCACTGAGGACAGAATGGTGCTCTGACCTCCTAGGAGAGCACTGTAAGGTTGGCAGCCCAGCTGATCGTAAGGCCAAATCTTACTGGGGTTATTCACAAGGGCTTTGAATAATGGAGAGAAGTATCTAGACCTATTCCTTCCTCTGGGTATCATTTAGCTATTATTTGCTTTCTTATGAATTTTGTTTCCAGTTTCTCTGTAAGAAAAGATAAAAGGAAATCACAGTCATAAAATCTTTATAGCATGAGAAGCGTTTACCAAGAGTAAATCAAGCTTAATATCTAGTTCAAAAGGGTGATTCTCAAACTGTTACTCTTGGATGGCTGTGTCACTATCAGCTGGGGACTTACCAGAAAGGCAAATTCTCAGACCCTACGCCAACCCACCGTTCAGGAATTTTGGGTAGGACCCAGCAACCTGTATTTCTGCCTTCCTCCAGAGGACTCCGCTGCGTGCCGCAGTTTGAGAATCACGGCCCTGGTGTCGGCTGCTGCAGCTAAGTGGGAAGCTTTCACTGACTCTCTTGGAGACGGGTAGGGTATACTTTTCCTACAGTGTAACGCAAGGGAAGTACAGGGTGTGCAGAGGATCTCAGGTGGAGGCCATGAGTAGGGGCTCCCCTCACTTGAGGTCCAAAATTCCTCACTGGACTTCACATCGTGACAACGTTCTGCTTCGGGGAAGGCAGCACCAGTACCCGATCATGGGTGTGACAGGAGACAGGCCGAGATCCAGGTTCCCAGAGAAGCCAGTATTCTCCTTTCTGAGCATTTCCTTGCCCATTAGCAGCACGATGACTGGAACTGTGGAGGAGCATGCATTCGAGTCTCGCTTCTACGAGCCCCTTATCTATTCGTAAGAACTTTGGGACAGTTCATTCCTTAGAGGCTTGAGTTCTTCATCTTTGGAATGAACATCTTCCGCAAAGTGTTGCGTGGTTATGTGTTTCACATTCAGTAGGTACCAGGTAAACAGTTGTTCCCTTGCTCCCGGGTACCAAGGGTGGGTACTTAGTTTGCAGTGCCTCAGTCACTCTGACTGGGCTGGCGTTGCTGGAGCCTGGATCCTAGATGCCCTCAAAGCCCCGTGTGTTGGAGGCTTGGTTGCTGTAGTGCTGTTGGGCTGTGGTGGACGCTGGCCCTCTTCTTACTCTCTCTTTGCTTCCTGGTTCCCACGAGGTGAAAACAGTCCACCTCGGCCACAAGCTTCTGCCGTGACGTTCTGTGCGGCCATAGGCCCAAAGCAACACAGCCAGGCACCTGCGGATCGAGACCTGTGAAACCCTGGGCCAAAATAAACCTTTGGTTTTTTAAAGTTGACTCTCAGGTATTTTGCTGAGATGGAAAGCTAACACATCCGGACCATAACTGTTGTTATTTACCTGTGAACCCTGCTTATAGGAATGCAAGCACATTTTCTCTGTTTTATTTTTAATTGATGAATAATAATTGTATATTATAAACACAGCACTTTTTGGGGTGCTGAAGATTGAACCCAGGGCCTCATGCATGGTAAACAGGGGCCTACCATGGAGCGACACCTCAACCCCCGTAGATATCCTTAGAAGAAAGATGAGGGTAGTTTTAAAAATACAAACCTAGGATAAGCTTAACGTTTATTTAGACAGATGAAGGAATGTTAAATAATTTAACAGTGTTTAAATTACTGACAAAATAAGATGCTGCAATGGGGAAGAGTGGTCAAATTTAAATTTTGGTAGTACAATAATACTGTGTGAGTATTTTACAGTCATACTATCTAGCAAGTCCTTTTCTTGACATCACCCCCAGAGTCCTTGGCAGGAAGTCATGGCCATGGGACCATGACTCAGTCCAAGAAGGTTGAGTGTCCATGCATGGCCCAGGGTACATTTCCTAAGCAGCTGTTGAGCCCAGAATTGATCATACTGATTATTATTATTATATTATTATTATTTTGGTTTTTTGAAACAGGCTTGTGCTCTATAGTTCAGGCTGGCCTTGAACTCACTTTATAGCCCAGGCTGGCCTCAAACTCACGGCAATCCTCCTGTCTCAGCTTCCCAAGTGTTGGGATTACAGGCATGTGCCCCACCAAGCCTGCCTGGCTTCACAGCGATTTTTCAAATGCCTGTTTCAGAAGAAATAGAAGATGGATTCTCTTCTTTCAAAAACTCTATATGCTCTTTGGGAGGCAGAGCAATGCAGATGGAATAATAAAATAAAAATTTTGCAGTAACACACTGGTAGGTCCTCACAAATAATTTGTAAAAAAAAAAAAGACCAATGTTCTGCAGAAACAGAAAAATGAACAGATGCAAACAGGGTACTCAATAAGGTTTCTTGAAGGGTGTGGAATTTATCTTGGATTTTGATAAAGACAAAATATGGATTAAAGAAAAGTCGTGAAAAGACCCGTTAGACGAAGGGGACAGCCAAGACGTGCAGGGGCGGAGAGGAAAACAGGCTTTTTTGCACGTCTTTGCTGAATCATTGAAATCAGGGCCCATTTCTTCCTGCGCTGTAACATTTCAGAGGAGCAGGAAGGTACACGTAGCGGTCTATTCACCCCTCACCGCTTCCTTCTCGTCTGTCACAAATCTGTTACATTTTTTCTAGTACAGCACCCCAAATATTTCTTTATTGACTGTTTTATGTTTTTGCCTCACTTTTTATGTGCTTGATCATTTTGTCACTTAATTCGTTTACGTAATGCTTGGTTTGGTTTTCTTCTAGGACCCCACAGCGCTGTAAACAGGCAAAGGTGAAACTCTGGCGAGGTGACCCATCCAGGCCCTCTGGCAGGGCGCCTTCCTTCCCGGCGGAGAAAGCTTACTTCCCACAATGACCGCAGCCGCGCGCTGCTGTTCAGGTCGCGTTAGAGAGAAAAATTCCGGAACCCAGAGCCGGCCCTGACCTTTCAGAAGCGCTGCGGAGCCCTGCGGGCCCGGCTCACCCTGCCGCCGCGTCCTCTGCGGGGGGACCGATTTTCTGTCTTAGTGATAGCGGGGAGCCAGGGGTGGGAGCAGAGGTGGCTTCCCGCGTGTTTCCCTCCTCTCGGGGAAGGCTGTGCTCCCTGTCCCCCCGCAGCTCGGACCCGTCCCCCTGCAGCCCTGCAGCTCCCGGCTCTCCCCGAGCGCGCAGGGCGGCCCGGGCCGTGGCGCTCCGGTGCTGAGCCGGGTCGGCGGGCGGGATCTGCTCTGCACTTTCTCCTGGGGCTGAGCGCGCCTGGGTGGGAAGGGTTTGCAGTGATCCTCCTCGTCCTCACCTCTGGGGATGCAGTTTTCCCGCGCGTGCCTCTCAAGCGTCAGGAGAGACAGGTGAGGAGGCGGAGGTCATAAGGCATTTTATTTCAGTAAGCAAACTCAAAAAGCGAGCAGCCCAAGCGCCTCGCAGCCGTTCACTGCAGCTCTTCAGTTTAGAAAGCCGAATTCCAAAGTTCTAATTCTGCAGGGCAGAGAAAAGGAATTGCACGAAAAACAAAACAAAAGCCCAGCCCTCGCTGGGTTCTGGGGTCCGGGCCTTCGCACAGCTGCCCGCGGCGCAGCCCGGGTCGGGTTCCCGGGGCGCGGACGGCGGGAGGGGCGGCTCGGCC